AACAAAATGGCAGCCTATAGAATGGGAAAAGATCCTCACCAACTCTACATGTGACAACGGACTAATATCTAAAATATATAAAGAACTCAAAAAATTAGACACCAACAAGCCAAATAATGTAGTTTAAAACTGACGATAAAAAGGTAAGCAGAGAATTATCAACAGAGGAATCTCTAATGGCCAAGAAGCACTTTATGAAATGTTCAAAGTCCTTTATTCATCAGGGAATTGCAACTCAAATTGACCTTGAGATTCCACCCTACACTAATCAGAATGGCTAAGATAAAAAACTCAAGTGACAACATATGCTGGTGAGGTTGTGTAGCACATCTCCATTTCTAGTGGGAGTGAAACCCGTATAACCACTTTGGAAATCAATCTGGAGGTTTCTCAGAAAATTGTGAATAGATATACCTCAAGACCCAGCTATACCACTCCTGGGCATATACCCAAACAATGCTCCACCAAAGCACAAGGACATTTGCACAACTATGTTCATAGTGGCTTTATTACTAATAGCCAGAAAATGAAAACCTTCTGGATGTCCCTCAACTGAGGAATGGATAAAGAAAATATGGTACATTTACACAATGGAATACTACAAAGCTATTAAAAACAAAGTCATCATGCAATTTGTGGGCAAATGGATGGAACTTGAAAGAAATCATCTTCAGTGAGGTAACCCACACCCAGAGAGACATGCATGATATGTACTCATAGGTGGATGCCAGCCATAACAGTATAGGATAAACATGCTACAGTCCACAGACCCTAAGAAGCTAAGTTCAAGGAGGGCCCGAGGGAGCATGCTTGAATCTCACTCAGCTGGGAAAATAAAACAGGCTTTGGCGGTAGATGAAGTGATCTGGGTAGGAGAGTGGCTGGGAAGGCAACAGTGTGGGGATTAGGAGTAAGGAAATTAAAGGAGAGAAGGGCTGGTAAGAGAACGGAAATTGGAGGTAGGGTGCATCTCTGGGACTTACCAGATACTTGGCATCGAGGAGGTCCCAGAAAGTCTATGGTGGTCATCCTAGCTGAGACTCCTAGCAACTGGGATATGGACCTTGAAGTGGACGCCTCCTGTAGCCAGGCAGGAGTTGCAGTGGTGGGATGAGGATACCAACACACCCACAAAACCTATGATCTGAAATTTTCCCTGCCTTCAAGATTTGCAGGGACAAAGATGGAGCGAAGAGAGAGAAAATGGCCATGTAAAGACCAGTCCTACTTGAGACCCATTCCAAGGGAGAGAACCAGTCCCTGACACTCTTAATGTTACTCTGCTATGCTTGTAGATAGGAGGCTAACATAACTCCTGTGAGAGGTTTTACTCAGCAGCTGATGGGAATAAATGCAGAGACCCACAGACAAACATTAGACAGAGGTTGGGGAGTCATATGGAAGAGTAGGGGGATGACCGAGGGAGCTGAAAGGGTGGACTCCACAAAAAAAAGACCTACAGAGTCAACTAACCAGTCCCCTGGGGGCTCACAGTGACTAAACCACCATCCAATGAGCATACATGGAATGGTCTTAGGCCTCCTGCAGAGAGGAGTATTTAACAGATATGCAGCTTGGTCTTTATTTGGGTCCCCCAATGAATGGAACAGAAGATCCCTCTGGTGCTGAGGCCTGGCTTTGGCTACCATTCCCTGAACTGGGCTTGCTTGTCTGGCCTCTATGAGAGATAATGTGCCTACTCCTGCAGTGACTTAATGTGCCAGAGTGGGTTGGTACCCATGAGGGACCTCCCAGTTCTCTAAAAAGAAGAGGGGAAAAATTTTTTTGGGGGGGGACTGGGAGGAGAAAAGGGGTGGCACCGTGATTAGGATATAAAGTGAATAACTATTTTTTTTAATAAAAGAAAGATGGGAGGGTGCTGAGACTGTGGGGGGGGG